TTTCATTGATCCATGTTGATGATATAGTGCCAAACATGATTTACTCTACAATGCTGTGATTACCACCTCCGTCATTACAATTAGGATAATGCAGTGAAGGAGAAAATAAGAGGCAGGGGAACAGAGATACAGGAGGAGGAAAGGGTAAAAAGCTCATGATTATAACTTTGCTGAAGCAACTACCTTGGCTCTGCACCATTTCATGGCTTTGGTTTTGACCCAGAAGGACCAGAACTTCTGACAGATGTTTTCAACATTGCAGAGTAGAGTTGGAAGGGAAGTTGGAGGTCTTCTAGTTAAATCCTCTGCTCCACCAGGAGAGACAATATACCGTTCTGGAAAAATGACTGTCCAATCTCTTCTTTAAAACCTCCAGTGATGGAGCACCCACAACTTCCATAGGCAAGTCATTTCATTGATTAATCATCAGTAAATTTCTCTTTAGTTCTAGGTTCGATCTGTCCTTCATAGGTTTCCTTTCATTACTTCCTGTCCTGTCCTCAGGTGCTTTGAAGAATAGGTTAGTCCCGTTTTCTATGACAGTCATTCAAATATTGGAAGACGATCATGTCCTTCTAGACTAGACTTACCCAGTTCCTGTAACCATTCATCGTATGTTTTAGCCTCCAGCCCCCAATCATCTGTGTTGCTCTTCTCTGCACTGGGTGCAGTACTCCAAGTGCAATCTTATCAAGGCTTTATAAACCAATACTAACACTTATCATACTACTGGTATCCTTCTGTTAATGCAGCCTAGGACTTCTCTCCATGTAGATGCAGTTGCATTGAGAACTACATGTTGTATGAAGTTGACCCCCTCAGTTATGAATCCATAACGATGATGATGATGCTTATCCCATTAATTAATTTGTTGAATTGAAGTAAGTTAATAATTGGATTGTAAACTGCTGTGAAAGGGGAGTGTAGGACTAAATTAAATGATGATAAACACCAAATTAAACAATGTACCAGAAATAAATACAAATACCTGAAGGGAGTTTGGGGAAATATTCAGGGGAATTAGAAATGTTGCATTTGTTCATATTTTATTTCTTTGTCCTCTTCCCCCATGACAGTCCCATTATTTTTATTTTTGCAAATTAATGTACCCAAATATATTCTGCTCAAAATAGCCAAACAGAGGCGACTTATACTCCTGCAGTAGACATTTCATTTTTTTTTCAAGTCATAAGGAAAAGCAACACATTAACTTCCAAATGGTGATTGAAGAAGTGACTCAAGGAAGTGAGCCAAGTTACGTGCGGTATATAGGATTTGAAAGATGTTGTAGGGGATGCACATTTCCTGGGCCTTCTTCGTTAATTTCATATAAGGCAATCAAATGATCAAAAAACAAGTTGACCTCTCTTCCTGTGTTTTTAACCTTCGTCACTGTGCTGAAGTAAGTTACTGTATTCCAACATAGGCATAAGCATGATCACAGACACTGCTCTTTCTGTCTTTAGACTGCTGGCTGAATATAAAGACAGACAGACAACTCTACAAAGGCTTCTATGCAAAGTTTCTTTATTGGGTCACCAGGCATCCTCAAATATAACTCACGGTTATGTCGAGATCCATCTCATGTCCAATTCTTTGCATAGCTGACTTCACAGTGTAAAAGAATAGTGATCTTTCATCCCATAATGAAGGAGCAAGGGGGTGAGGCACCAGCACGCTGCTGGGGTCCAGGCAAGAGTGGAGGAACCTCCCCCAACCCAACCAAGGGTCAATTTAGTGACCAATCAGGATTGCAGATGTGACCACATGACATGAACTACATTTCCCAGGATGCATTAACTACATTTAGCACGAGGCATTCCCTTAAGGGGACAGCTCCCAATTCTAACTTAACTATCTCAATTCCCATTATCTATATACTGTCTGGACAGCACAGACACCGCTTAATCTTTAAAAATTAAGTCAATGTCAGTGTCAGGAGCAGGATTGTGGGAGGAAGAAATTTATAGCCAGTCTTAGCTTTGCTTCCACTTCTGTTCCTTTTCTTTAAGTTCAGCGCCCACTCCTACAGAAAAGATGGAGGAGATTTGATATAGATCTTGTATTGTTTTGTATGGTGGTAAATCAATAAGGACAGTCTCTCTTACTGTGCCAGCTGCTATTAAAGGCACAAAAGAAGGGAAAGAAGCATGGCAGCCTTGATTCCCCCAGCCTTTCTTTTTAAGGGGAGAGAAGCCAAAAATCTTAACATGAATCAGGCATTAGAAGTCAAAGAAAGGCTCCCACTCCCACCTATAAAAATCCAACCTGTCTTGAAATGGGAGGATGGTTCTAGGTTTGCTAGGAATATAGAGGTGAAGGCAGGTATTTTTTTTTTCTCTAATAGTCTTTAATGGGGAGTTGCTTACATTCAGGTTCCCTTTTGCTTTCAGATAAATGCCACCGCTGAAAATGCACCCTTCCACCAGCATTCTCTTTCTTTCTGAGAAATGGGAAATATGACCATCATAGCTTACCTTGTATTCTAATTTCAAAGAGCGATCAGATCTGAACTGTGGGTATTCATCCACAGGATGGCAGCAAAAAGCTACCCAACACTCAGGCTCTCCTTGGCACCCTCTAATGTTTGGGTAAAAGTTTGCACCTTCAATCTGGTAGCCCAAGGGACAGTTCCCTGAGCAGCTTGAAAGGAGGCTGCGGGGGGGGGGGGGGGGGGGAATGGCCCTTGAGAGTTGGGGGTCTTTTCTGTCCCCCCCAAAAAGGCAAACCTGAGGATCACATTGTGTCCTCTTGGTTTTCTTCAGGTGTGGGAGGAAGCCCTTAGCAAAGGGAAAACAACAGCTGTCCTTTCTCATTTTTTAAGCCCTGCAGCTGGGTGGATTGGGCCCTCCACAGTTACGCTCCATGACGGTATAAGTGTCTGTTTTGCATTGAGTTGGATTGAGTTGTGCCTATTAAGTTTTCTGGACTCCCTTATAGGAAAATTTGCCTCTGGCTTCTTCTGAGATGTCGTCTTTCGATGTCCGAGCGTAGGCCTCAGCCTAAATTTCTCAGCTCCCACAATACTTGGGAGAGCCTGGAGTGAAATGGGGTTGGGAACTTCGGAGTTAAGTGGAGCTATTCTGGGAGACCCTGGACCTCTTCTTTCCTTATGGGGGCATCTTCTCTTGGACAGCACTCGGATGGGGAAGGCGTTCTGTTGGCTCGGACACTCAGAGAGGGCTGGGTAAAGGAGGCTTTTCAAGCCAACCATGCTTGCCACATCTGGTTTGGCCCAGTGGCTAGCAGAAAACAAACAGGCAACGAGATGCATTTTCTTTTCCCATCGCCCTGTTGGCCTGTCCCGTTGGGGGGTGGGGGAGGAGGGGCAGAGGATTCTGCTAGAAGGAGGAGGTGAAGTTGCCCCTCTGCTGTCCCCCCCCCCAAAAAAAACCAACCCTGGCAGTTTTAAGCCTCCCTTCAGCATCCCTCTCTTAAGCTGTCCTTCCCCTCCCAGATGGGCTGAATCCTAAGTAGAGGCTAATATTTGGAATAGACTCTCCTGCTCCAGCAGGGGGCTGGACTAGATGACCTCCAAGGTCCCTTCCAACTCTGTTATCTTATGAAACTTTCTATGAATCTGGTCCCGTCCCAAAAAGGGCACCAGGTTGGAGGTGCCCCGATTGAGACACTCCACCCTCCCAACCTTTCCGAGGCCAGAGGTGGCTCTTCAGCCGAAGAAAACGTCCAATGTTCATTCTTGGGCGGGGAAGGTGGGGGGATGGGAGAAAGAGGCATTCTTCCCAGCCCTGCACATCCCCCCCACCTCCACCTCCTCTATTCCATTTGGGGAAAGGGGGCACAGAAGGAGAGAGAGGGAGAGAGGGAGGGAGAAGGAGAGGGAGAGAGAGGGGGGGAGGAGGAGAGAGGGGGAGAGGGAGGGAGAGGGAGAGGGAAGGAGAGAGAGAGAGAGGGAGAGGGAAGGAGAGAGAGGGAGAGAGAGGGAGAGGGAGGAAGAGAAAGAGAGAGAGGGAGAGGGAGGAAGAGAAAGAGAGAGAGGG